AGCGGCTCTGCCGACAGGTGCCGGGAGACGTTCTGTAGAGAGCTGCAGTTTCCTTCTCTTCACTGTCTGCTCGTGCCCTTCTGGTGTAAGACAAGTGATTATTACAGTTTTTCATCCACAGATTGTATAAAGATCTTTGCATCTCAGTAATGCTGGTCTATTTTTCTCTTAGAGGAAATAACTTAATAGCACTTAGAGGCAGAAGGGACCTTTATGTTTAGCTGGTCTGATGTTCTGCAAAACTTGAGCCAAATAATCTCATTCAATACTTCTGTATCAAACCTGTATGTTCTGCTGGAGCTTTGGGAAAGAAGTGATGCCTACATGAAAAAATGTCAATAGATAAAAATTTATGCCAGTGGTCGTCTTCCTTTATGTCTTTACCCATGTCCTTCTCCTCTCTATTCTGCTGCTTTGTAAAAGTTTTTTGAACTCGGTCTATAACTGTATTACTGTATCGAAGATGGGATTATAGGAGCTCAGATTCACGCAGTCGTGTCTCTTTCTCAAGGGAGCAGAATGCCAGGTGAACTTCGGAAATTATTTATCTGCTAAGCAATAGCCTGCTCTCTGGGCCTGAAAGAGCACCATTCAGGAGGCTCCATTCACAGTCACTCAGTGATTAATCACATTCGTGGGAATGTACTTCCGTCTTTACCAATAGCAAGTTCAAAAGCAGCATTTCAGTCAAACATATGAAAAAGGTGGATTTCGTCATCTGGGCTTTAGGAAACCAGATGAAACAGAGCTTATCATCATGGTGGCTTCAGAGACCTTTTTTTTTGACAGAACACTTGTCCTTTTTTTCTTTCTTTATATCAAGTGGGCTTTCAGCATTTCTAAGTGATACAAAATTCCACCTTACACTGCCAAGGCTATAGATAACCATCTTCATCTGCGCTGCATCGTGCTTTTTACAAGACTGGATTTTGTAAGGAAGAAGGAGAAACAGGCCGTTGTGATGCGAAATTACCATATCTTGAAGCAGATTTCTGAAACAGGCCACGTGATTCCCGTTCCTTTCACACCCTATAGCGAGCGCTTGTGGTAAGTGTGGCTGCAAATAGCTATATGATAGATGCATAAAGTTAAGTGAGGCTTTTCTAATGAAAATATTTTCTAAACCATTGACTGTTTGAAGAAAAAACCCATACTAAACCTATAGCCAGACTGTATCTCTGTGCACTGCTATAATATGCTTTACATAAAACATTGGTATTAAAGGAGTTGCTGCATACTTGTCTAGATTGTTTCCATGTGATTTTGATTTATTCTCATGTTGGAACTCAGTCTGCTATTTTTTTTCTTGGTGGTCAAAAGGGTAGTTTTAAGTGAAAGGAAAACCCAGTAGTTTTGATATAGCAAATTGGACACTTCTAGCTATTGCTGCTGTTAGAACAGTTTAAAATTAGCCTGATACTTGCACTGGGAAGATTCATAGCTTTGCTGTTTTTATTGAATATACATCGGCTCACTCTTACCAAATTTCTGGGTTCTATCTAAATAAATCTGTTTCCCTGGTTAGGGATAATAAATATCAGAGGGAGACTTGAAACAGGATGCGAGGACATCCTGAAGTCACTGCTTCATCGGATTCCTTTTTAACCCACATAGCCCTGTGTGGCGAAGGGAAATGGATATTTGTGCTAAAAAAGCTGTTGGATCACACAAATAGTTCCTTGAATGTCCCCTCCTGGCTCTTTCAGGAGGCGGTAAATGAAATGACCCATCAACCCTTTGTGGGCCACAGCATTAGGTGCCACTCGCTGGGTGGGCTGGAAGTGGACAACAGTCATTCTTGCCAGCTGGAGCCCTCAAAACATAAACCATGGTAACTTAGCCCCTTCCACTGCTGCGTCCTGTAAACTCGGCTGGGAAAGAGCGGTGAGCTGTGCCCGTGGCGAGCGGAGCTTGTGCAGAAGGGAAGCGCCGCTCGGGAGGTTCTGTGCCCTGCTCGGTTATTCTCCATATCCCACCAGAAACCTACATGAGGAATTAATAACCCGCACTTTTAAAGGTTTAAAGTTTACCTGAAGATCTTGGGACATGCCAGCAATATTTGATAATTCCTTTTCACAGTGTCGTGAGCTTATAAATAGTGTCCTCCATTTTTGATAGCTGGAGATTTTTAAATACTGTGACAGGTGACTGCAAAGCTAAAAAGTTAAAAGTGTAATCAAAAAATGGGCCTGTATATCATTATCGAAGTGACTTTTATGCAAGGATATAGTCATATAACCCTGTGCAAAAAAAAATCAGCCCGTATCAATTTTAGATTATGTGAATTGACTGGCACCGTCAAGGGACAAATGAGAAAATCTTCAGCTCTGCAGATCTCTTGATCGTGGCCATTTCTGCGTCTCTTGTGAGGTCTGGGTTCTTGGTGCTGTGCGTTCTTTGACCTTCCTGTAGCATTTCTGCCATCCTGCTGATGTGAGTCCAGAAGCGATTCATGATCTCAGCGCGTGCAAAGCGCGGACGTGTTGACTGCCTGTCCCAGTGACGGGTCCAGGACAGCCCGTGTTTGTGAGGACAGGACGGAGCCCGGCTCTGCGGCGCTGGGTCGGTGCTGCTCGTCCTGCTCGTCGTGGCAGCCGCCCTGGCACGTGCCGAGCACCGCGTGTGGTTGAGCTGCCCTGGCTGCGCGTCCAGGCCTTTCCTTCAGTCTCGGCGTTTGTTTTATTCTGATTGCCAGTTTTAAATGCCTGAGTGCAGGAAGCTTGAATGAAACTTTAAAGTTTATAATTAACCAAGTACAAAATAAAACCAGAATTATCAGCATTTCAAAACAATCTTATGTCTGATAAGTACAGATTTAATTGATTTATATTGTATAGCACACCATATGCTTTACAAAAGTAATGAAGTCTTGGTAATGAGCATTTACTATATGTTGTCTGCTGAGTAAAGAAATTATGAGTTAATTAAACAGAGGAAACTCATTAATTGCAGTGGTATATTCCTATTTTCCAAGACTAACAGTGTGAGTTCAGCTCTGCAGAAGGACTTAGGATGTCCTAAGTATTTTTGAATGTTAGCAGGCATATTGTAGTGAGAATGAGTTAATATGTTAAACAAAGCAACACAACCATCAAGTGGATTTGTAAACAAATTGAAAGCTGTGCCACAGAAGCCATGGTATGAAATGTCAGTGTGTAATCCATCCATAATTCCTGGGTAGGTGCGTACACAAATTTGTCAGATTTTTCTCAAGTGAAGGGACTGTGCCATCGTAATATCCCGCACCTCTCTGTGAAGCAGCTAATGCTGTCCAGGTTGATGATAATGTGCATGAAAATACATATTTAAATATACCTGTGTGCATTTGGGCTATTTTTTCCTGGCGTTGCCACATCTGGGTTGAACAGCCTCCAGCAGTTTTTCTGCAGAGCGCGCGCGGTGCTGCGGGCAGGCAGGAGCGCTGCGGGGCTCGCGGCGCGCGCCCGTCGGCTGCAGGAAGGCTCTGCCCACGCGCCCATCGGCTGCAGGAGGGCTCTGCCCACGCGCCCGTCGGCTGCAGGAGGGCTCTGCCCACGCCCGCGCCGCGGAGGCTCCCGCTCGCCCGGGCTGCCCTGGCCTCCTTGGCAGCACCGCGCAGTCACGGTGCTGCTGGGGACGGAGCCCCGAGCTGTGTGGCACCAGTGCGTCTCAGTCCTTCGGTCCTGGTACAAGCGCAGGGAGGCAGGCAGCATGTTCCCTAAATGGGCATTTTCTAACAATAACATTTAACTGGTTAAATACCTTTTGACATTGAACATTGACTTAGGCCTTAGGAATTCTGACCGTCGGCTGCAGGAGGGCTCTGCCCACGGCCGCGCCGCGGAGGCTCCCGCTCGCCCGGGCTGCCCTGGCCTCCTTGGCAGCACCGCGCAGTCACGGTGCTGCTGGGGACGGAGCCCCGAGCTGTGTGGCACCAGTGCGTCTCAGTCCTTCGGTCCTGGTACAAGCGCAGGGAGGCAGGCAGCATGTTCCCTAAATGGGCATTTTCTAACAATAACATTTAACTGGTTAAATACCTTTTGACATTGAACATTGACTTAGGCCTTAGGAATTCTGAACAGTCAGGTGCGTTAAAGTCAGCTCTGTCACAAGAGCACAAACCACGCGTGTGCATGTCAGTGAAGAGAACTGAAAATTGTCTGGGCTGTCACTAATGGGCTTTTTCTTTGATCTCTGCAAGTGATTCCCTTGGAGTCACCAGCATATCTTTGCATGTGACTGAAGGGTCTGCAGAAAAGGCAAATATCATAGTGGGATTTATAGTCTAAAAGTATTCACACGGCATTGGTGGTAAGATTTGAGTTTGCGTTATCTCTTTGGGTTTGGAATTGGTGGGCAGAAGGGATAGAGACCAGTGGAAGATGAAAAGGATAAGATCTGGAAAATATTACTTGTGAAGAAAAACCTGAGGGCTTGGTGCTGATTAGCCTAAAAGAGAAAAGACTGAAAAGAGACAGTGGTCTTGGCTTAAAGAGGACAGTCAAGAACGAAACGTAGTTCATTCAAACAGCATCAGGAAAGAGGCAAATTATGCAATGGGAAACATGCAGTGGTGAAACATGTGGAGGACTGGATAACTCACAGTGGAGATGGGAGAGTTTATTATGGGGGGTCTTCACAAGCCCGTGAAGCATCTGTCAGGAAGGGTGCAGGTGCAGCCCCGAAAAGCTGGTGGCTCTTGCTGTGGTCGTTGGAGTGTTCACTGGCACGTGAACTGCTGCTCCGTAACATACGTTTCTGAAAATATTGCTTCAGAATTGAGGAGTGCACTAGGAGCTTTTTGCATAAGTTTCTGTTATATAAAAATGTGGTTTTAAAGATTTAAATACTGAGATAATGGTTTCTGCTTGTTTTACAGATTTGCTTACAATCAAATACATGACCATGGGGGATATGAAGACCCCAGACTTTGATGACCTTCTTGCGGCCTTTGACATACCAGACATGGTAGATCCAAAAGCAGCTATTGAGTCTGGACACGATGATCACGAAAGCCACATAAAACAAAATGCCCATGCAGATGAAGATTCTCATGCGCCATCATCATCCGATGTTGGTGTCAGTGTCATAGTGAAGAATGTCCGTACCATTGATTCTTCTGAAGGAGTGGACAAGGACGGCCACCATTCCACCGGCAATGGCTTGCATAATGGTTTTCTAACATCATCAGCTCTTGATAACTACAGTAAAGATGAAGGGAAGTGTCTTAAAGATGATGGTTCAGCTTCTGAGGCTACCCTGAAAGACTCAGCTTTCAACCAGTTCAGCCCTATCTCAAGTGCTGAAGAATTTGATGATGATGAAAAAATCGAGGTGGATGATCCTCCAGATAAAGAAGAGCTACGTGGAAATTTCAGAGCAAATGTCTTGACGGGAGCTGTATCTCAGCAGGAGTATGAGAAACTAAAGACACTTGGTGGAGAGAGCTTGATTAAGTCTGGAATCCCAGTCTCAAGTAATATAGATAAAAGTAAAGTTGGTAAACGAGAGTCAGAGACAAACTCTATGAATTTAAGTGTCTATGAGCCTTTTAAACCTCGAAAAGTAGAGGAAAAAATGCTGAAAGACAGTTCTGAGAAGCTACTTGAAAACAGGGTGCTTGATGGAAAGCTGAGTGCTGAAAAAAGTGAAACAAATCTTGCCAGCATTTCACAATCCAAAGCAAAGTCATCAGCAAAGCTTTCTTCATGCATTGCTGCAATTGCAGCACTGAGTGCTAAAAAAGCAGCTACAGATACCTGTAAGGATTTACAGTCCAATTCTGGAGAATCTTCTCCATTGCCAAAAGACATGAATGAAAGTCCCCGTGATGTTGAAAAATCACCCGAATCTCAGAGTCTCATTGATGGTGCTAAAAAACCATCTATCAAACAGCCTGATAGTCCCAGGAGTGTATCGAGTGAGAACAGTAGCAAAGGGTCTCCTTCCTCTCCTGCGGGGTCAACACCAGCAATTCCTAAAGTTCGTATAAAAACCATCAAGACTTCTTCTGGGGAGATCAAGAGAACTGTCACCAGAGTGTTGCCTGAAGTGGACTTGGACTCTGGTAAGAAGCTCGAGCAGACAGCTTCTATGGTGACCTCCATGACATCTCTGCTGTCCTCGCCAGCTTCTGCTGCTGTCCTGGCCTCCCCTCCCAGGGCTCCTCTGCAGTCTGCAGTTGTCACCAACGCCGTTGGCACTGCAGAACTTGCACCCAAGCAGGTCACTATCAAACCTGTGGCTACCGCTTTTCTTCCGGTTTCAGCAGTTAAAACAGCCGGATCCCAAGTTATTAATTTGAAGCTCGCCAACAACACTACAGTGAAGGCCACGGTGATATCTGCAGCGTCGGTGCAGAGTGCCAGTAGCGCCATTATAAAGGCTGCCAATGCCATACAGCAGCAGACTGTTGTGGTGCCAGCATCGAGCCTTGCCAGTGCGAAACTCGTGCCAAAGACAGTCCATCTTGCCAACCTTAATCTTCTGCCTCAAGGTGCTCAAACAACCTCTGAACTCCGCCAAGTGCTAACAAAACCTCAACAACAAATAAAGCAGGCAATAATTTCTGCAGCAGCCACTCAGCCTTCTAAAAAAGTGTCTCGTGTCCAGGTGGTGTCGTCTCTGCAGAGCTCGGTGGTGGAGGCGTTCAATAAGGTGCTGAGCAGCGTCAATCCGGTCCCGGTTTACATCCCGAACCTCAGTCCCCCTGCCAACGCCGGCATCACGCTGCCCACGCGGGGCTACAAGTGCTTGGAGTGCGGCGACTCGTTCGCTCTGGAGAAGAGCCTCACCCAGCACTATGACCGCAGGAGCGTGCGCATTGAAGTGACCTGCAATCACTGTACAAAGAATTTGGTTTTCTACAATAAGTGCAGCCTTCTTTCCCATGCTCGTGGTCACAAGGAAAAAGGAGTTGTAATGCAGTGTTCCCACTTGATTTTAAAACCAGTCCCAGCAGATCAGATGATAGCGTCTCCTTCAAGCAATAGTGCTGCATCCTCTGTGCTTCAAAGCCCCGCAGGAGCTGGCACACATACTGTGACAAAGATACAGCCTGGCATAACGGGGACAGTGATATCGGCCCCGGCAAGCACACCCATCGCTCCCGCCATGCCGCTGGACGAGGATCCTTCCAAGCTTTGCAGGCACAGTCTGAAGTGTTTGGAGTGCAATGAAGTTTTCCAAGACGAGACGTCTCTTGCTACGCATTTCCAGCAGGCTGCAGACACAAGTGGACAAGTAGAGTATCATATGTTTAAATTCCGGTGTTTCACCTATAAGCCTAGGGGACTTTGGATGTTTTTACTTTCGTATAGATGTTAATTGTCTGAACCTCCGTGATTAAAAATATCGACTAAAACCACAAAGTCTTGCAAGCACTTACCTAGCGAATGTCAGTAATTTTTATATTAGAATTTTCTTAGATTTTTTTAGGCCCTAAGGTCTAAAACTTGCACTGATTCATATTTCTAATTAAGATTGAACATCAGCTCTTAGAGCTGAAGTTTATAATATTGAAATCAGTAACGTTTTTTTCCTAAGAGTTTTTATTGATACGTACTATGCTTTGGAATGAAAAGATACAGTGGAATCCACTTAATTGGCACCCTCATTAACAGCACACCTATTTAATTGGAATGGCAGTCTGAAGTGATTCATGCTTGATTCGGTTTCAGTTTCTGTTATTTTCATATAGCAGCATAGAGGGGCAGGCATTTCCCTCGTAGCAGCAGGGCCTGCAGGCAATGAACAAATGGCACACTGCCCCTGCTCAGCGGGCGCGCGTGCTGCTCCCTTCAGGTCTCTCTTGAGGAGAGGGGAGAAGTGGTGCTCGCTAGCATGCCTTCCTGGCTCTGTGACCATTTGTTTAGCTGCTTGGGCTTTCTTTTCCACTTAGGAGCACCTATGAGTTAAACTTACTTTAATAAAGAATTTTAAAATCACTTGTATGTTGCCTAATCTGAAGGAAACACGTCTTTCAATAAAAACTAATATTAATCAGTGTGCAATGTATTTTATAACCCGTAAGAGCTAAGATCACTGATTCAGTGGCATTCTTGGCCTTCCACTGGGGCGTGCCAATTAAAAGGGATTCTATGTATTGCAAAGCATGTGTTGGGGCCGCGTGGTGCAGCCCTGCCCTGGGCAGGCCGGAGCTGCCG